TTTACTTATTTATGTTTTTTCACCAAAATTCTGGGATTCCAATTAAATATGTTACTGCAAGCCTTAAATAACCTGTTTCTCTATCTCATATAGTTTTTCAGTTTTTGTCTTACTCTTTCATTCTATTTTCTCTTCTGAAAATCTTTTAATATACCTTTTCTCTCTTCAGCTATGTTTAATCTGCTATGAACTTTAAGATCTTAATTTCACCTACTATATTATTAAAATGGTACTTGTACTTAGTTCTTATTTTCCATGACCCTGGTAAAGTATCATGATTCCTAATTCCCTGTGAATTTTTTTAAGTTATGCCTCTTAATCATAGAGTGTGTAGATTTACAATACGCATCCAATAAGTCTAAGTTGTAAAGTTATTGTATTTGATTTCACCATGTCTTTCATATATTGTCCAGCATTTCAAATGCTTCATATATTTCACCTTGTCTTTCATTGATTGCTCAGCTCATAATGTACATAAGCTTTCTCNTTCAGAATTTTCTACATCAAAATTAAAATATAACACTCAGATTAACAACTCAGCAGAAGCCAGAGATTATGTGTAGATTTATTTTCTGAAGGCTTTTGTGATTCAAAAAATAAAATTTTTGAACATTATTTCTCAAAAATGTAACTTTTTACAAAAAAGTTCTAGTTTATAATTAGGCAACAGAAGTTTCATTCAAAGAATATGCAAAAAATGATTCCAATAAATTACATTTTTTCTCTTTAGGGAAAAAAGATGTAGGAAGCATGGAGCGCCTCTAAAGTGTGAGCCAGATTTGGAAACCTAATTTAGGTAAAGTGTGTGTAATTTAAATGTAACTGCATGACCTTGAGGAATCACCTAGAGAATCTGGACTGGGGATTTGCAACAAGCTGCAAACATGGCAGTTGGAAGAACGTCCCTACTTCCTCATTTAGAATATCATTAATTTTAATTCATTTACTCATGTGGGAAGATTGAAAATATTGATCTTCTGGTCTTGGAAATGCAACAATAATAACCTACAATTTGATTCATTATGTATTTATTAAAAACATAAAATTTCCAAAATTAACAAAGGAAAGACCATAACCCAATTTCAATAAATCAACTTAGTATGTTTAGTAAATTGTGTTTCTTCAGTTTCTCTCAGCAATTTTGTTTTCGCACATCTGATTTTTTTTTTGTAAATAACATACCATCATTCTGCATATAGACTTGATATGGCACCCTTGACATTTTGTATTTTACCTTCCCATTCCTTTTTATTAAAATTCAGGTTGAATATGCATTTATCAGTGAGGCATTTGATAGGTATGTTGAATAATATAGTGTATTGAGTTTCTGTTGCAGAAATTTTTTCAGAAATTATATCAGAAAATTTATAGTGATATACCCTTACACATCTATGTGAATGTGCAGATATTTTAGACAAATTCTCCCCAATTATATATATATATATATATATTTTTTTTGTCTTTTTCCGTGTCCGGCAACGGATCGCAACCCTCAGTGTTGCCCCCATACCGGACCGGGGACCGGCAACGGGATCGCAACCCTCGGCGCTGCTCCCGTGCCTCGCTCAGCCAGTGAGCGGGAACCGGTCTGTATGTGGGATCCGAACCCTCGGGCGGGAGCGCCGCCGCGCTTCCCAAGCGGCGCACTGTAGCAGTGCGCCACCGGGCCGGCCCAATTGTTTGTTTTTAATAGACAAAAACCAAACATATTTTGTCACATATACATAAAATGTCCCTGAAAATATCAGAAGAAACA